GCACAGTGAAGTAATACTTGCTGGAAGAGGGAGGACAGAGTTAAAATAAGTGATAATGTTTCAGAAAGAAGAACGGCACCATGCCGAATTCGAATGGACTAGGTACGCGCCAATGCGTTATTTTTTCCACCTGGTTTGGAAGATTGTTTGACTCGCTTTGGATTGTCTTTTTTTGCATAACGCAATGATATCACCGATGACAATAACTTATGTTTTTGAGCTAGTTGCAAGTAAAATAACATTAGCAACACAAGCGTTTTCTTACCCAGGCTACCCTCACATACTCTCTTTACTCGATTGAGGATTACATTGCCCCGTGGATTTAATTGCATTTGAAGGTCGGACACAATAATCCCCATATAACTTGACATTTTCGTCTGTATCGTTCAGAATGTGATTTGGATTCGTTGGAACGAGAGGATGTGTCCCTGGGAGGACTTACGACCTATGATGAGATGTGTGAATTTTTCGTCATGTACTACCCCAGAGTGGAAAAGTTAAACCTCTGCTTCACCTCTGTGGAATACGAGTTCTTTCACGATCTTTTTCAACTGGGCGGAGTCCATCTCAACTTGTGAGTTCATTAGGGGACGTAGTCCAGCATCATAGCACTTCTACTGTAGAATTGTGTAGTTAACTAAAACTTCCATTTTCCTGATTTTCGCACGGACTAATTCACTACGAGCTAGTCCGAGTTGTATTTTCCTCTCTCCCCCTCCCAAAAATTCAATTGCATCACCATAGCATAACAGCAGTACAAGTATCCTAGCATATACATTTCTTGATTTTCTTCTGAACTTGAAAAACGTTGTATTAAACTGTTTTTTTTCTCAAAGGCGTTTATGTTTATGTAAGCATTTAATCATTTTTTTTGGGCTATCAGTACTTAATAGTATTATAGCAGCAATAATGACATCATCATTTAATAGTGTGCTAAGGATACAAAGAACGCAGGATTTTTAAGTTTTTGCCACGTTTATATAAAGGGTTGCATTTATTTGCGTTAAGCGGTTTTCCCGTATCTATACGTTCAGTTTAAGAGAAGCGTGATCTTTAATGTCACATCAATTACTGGTATATATACGGGATTCGTTCCCGATAGCATCGTAGTTCCTGTTTTTACGGATAGATAGCATCACCTGGCATTTGCCTTCGAATTATTCCATCAACAGAGATGAAGATGCTACAAGTTTGTGTAGTTTGCTGCAGCGAAAAGGAACCAATAGCGAAAGGGCTTTTGGCCAAGTGAGATACCAGTGTGCTGATGTTGATGTTGGACTGTGTTCAACACAACTTTCGCATATAACCTATAAGCAAAGGTACCTGGCGTTGGACGGGTGAATATTGTATACCTCCCATATTAGTCTGCAATAAATATTGTACCCTGGTGTAGGCGACGCAGGCGACTGCTTGAGAGGGGGGGGGGAATTATCTTCGCTTGGGGCGCCAATTGATCTAGGACCGGCCCTGCCCTGATAGTCCAAAATATTTAAACGCCACCTAGCCTATGACCATCCCCGGACCAAATGAGGAAGCCTTGCAAAGTTTGGTAGGACAGGGATCAGAGGCATGACTGTGCATGGACAAAAACTTCGAAATATGGTAGGGATGGCTGGAAAATTTTGATACATTCCATCAGTCACTCAGGAACCAAACAGTTGTAGGATGAATAAATTCGTCGTTATCGTACTTCAACACACTTTCGTGTCCAAGGTATCAGGTGGCAGATTTCAGAGAACGTTTATTGGCTTATAATGACGAGGGCTACTCGTCAGCGCTTTTCCCGTCATTACTTTCGACTTAAATGGAAATGTAGCTAAAAGTATTGAACTAGATAGCAAGAACATGCATTTATCTAAGTACAAGCGGTTACTCCGTGCCATTTAATATGCTTTGAGATAATTTTCATGTGTAAAATCTGGCTTTTAAATAATAATTATTATTATGATTAGATTAAATCATATGCCAATGGGTTAAGGGGCTGACGTTGTCCATACAAAGGCATAACTCTAGGTTTTTCTTGAAGACGCTTCAAATTGAAACATGGTAATTTATTGAATAGATACAAATCGTAGTTTTGAGTTCATGAAGCAACCCACGCAACCCTTGCATCTCAGATACGTTTATGTGACATTACTGCAACATTATTTGCCTGAAGTTACGTTGCAACAACGTGGTGTGGACGTCATGTGTTATATGTGGGAACATGCTGAGTGCGTTCGTTAACGTTATCGTTTATCAACCATTTACTTATATTTGTTCAAAGGGAATCCCTTAACTGGGAACTGGACGGAACAAACCAGACCCTGCACGAGTACTTCAGAGGCTTCGACTGGGAGAATTTTGACTTGGAAACTTATCAAGAAGCAGTTCGATTCTCTCCTCAGCAAGGTATCTGCGGAGACATCTCCGACTTTCTCGTAAGTGTTTTCCCCACTCTCCATTCAGACTTTTTATGCAGTGCATTCCACAGGATATGCTTGTCTATCCTTTATGTGCGGATTGGCAGGAAGTGAAGGATGTGACATTCCCGGAATACGAGAGTGATTACAGTCCACCGCCGAGAAAGTGCCCCGTAGGCAATTCCAACCCTTGAGCCATCGCCTTCCCAGCAAGAAAATGAAAATTCACTTATGGTGTTTTCTGAAAGGGCGATAGTAAAGTTGGAGATCACAGAACTTTTTTTTTCCCACGCGTTTTATTCTACAACCATGTTGATGCTTTGTAACCAGTACTTCCAAAGTCTTGAGAAGAAAAGGACCCCAAAAACCATTCACACTAAATTTCAAGAAACATTTTGGAGCTTTTCCCTCTCTTAGGTTGCTGCTCTTGTAACTCTGGAAAGGTTTGGCTATTAGTGTTCATGGCCTTATAAGACCGTGAATCATACATGTACCGGGCCTAACCTTTACAAACTCACTCTTGAAAGCGAAAATGAGCAGAAGAGGGTAGGCACACAGAAAGGGATAACTGAAAAACAGCTTCCCTTCGGTACTGGCGCTACCAGCATACTCCTCTACCTTTTAACAGGGTTGCCATGACCACTACGTCAAATAAAACACTCCCCACCGAGCTCCCGACGCTCTTGCAAGTTTCGAAGAAGAAACAAATGGAAATAATTTGTTTATTTATGTTTCCCCCCCGGAACACGTTCTTTAGCAGCATTTGACATGTGAAACATGGCAACGAATACAGCGGAGAAAAAATTGCAAAAAATAATTCCGTTACACTGAGTCAGATAAGCTCCCGGATATAATAAAAAGAAAAGGAATCTAACTTTCAAATCACGATTAGTACCTGGAATCGCATATATGCACTAATTCACGATTCTCGATGGAACGTTTCCGAAATGTTGCCAATGTTACTCTATCTTGCAAGTTGAGGAACAAAATTGATGAAGCATTGCTTCAACAGTTTTCACTTTTGAGCGCTTGGAATGTTCCTGAGACACTTTAAAACATGTTATTGCAATATTTCCAATCAATTTTGAGAGAATGTTGACATTGACAACACAGCGACCACATTCTGATGCAATTTTCACTTAAAATTTTAAAGGAATTGTAAAGTTTTCTTCCAGGCTTCTAAATGGAAACGTAGGTATGGTTTTTCCAACGGTACACAATAATGCCCTTCTTCCTTTCCTTGATATCGTCCCTCTAAGAAATGTTTAGTCCCTTCTTTAGTTTCGCCTAGTCACACTATAGTCATCAATGCACACGTTCACTTCATCATTTATTATCCTCATATTCGAGATAGATTCCTGGAGACTAGGCCAAGAACAAGCTCATATTCCCTAAAAGAACCCATTCCAAAAACTATTTCAGCCCACAGGAGATGAAGAAATTGGTTGTAGAGAGTGCGTGAATTCAATCCTTCATTTCCTCAGGATGATGACGGGGAGGGAAGAATTCGTGGACATTTCATAGAACATGATGGATGAACCACCTCCTGAAACGTTAATTGGTTAATTGGCACATTAAGGGAAAGAAGAACTCCTGAAATGTACGGTCTCCTATTTATGATACTGGTACTGTATTATGAATGGGCAGGCGAATACCAGTATAGGCTTCGTCCTGTTGATAGGAAAGGAATTATAGCATATGGTACGTTGACAGAACTGACGGCAGTACTCAATGATTATATTTTTGAGCTCGAATTGAAATGAAGTGAGTGTTCTGATGGACTCAGCGAGAGAATTTACCAATGCAATCTATAATGTTTGAGTTATACTCCATAGTCACTTACAGAACTCTTCCATTTGGAAAAATGTTATGCTTTCCTTGTCAGGAAATGTGTTCCGGCAAGGTCTACTCTCCCTGGTGAATGAATATTTTTTTACGTCAGCTGAGCACAGCGTTGGAACAGGAAAAAAATTAAACTGTCGTATCAGCCCATGTACGGTTCTGCTATACCACTGGTCCCTTTAGTTCTGGAATCATTACCCTCAACTTCATCCAAGACAACAAACAAGAAAAAAAAGCTGACGTTGTAGGTATGTGTGTTTTGTCCCGGAAGAAGAAAAAGGGAGGAGGTTAACAAATCTTAGCAATGGACCTTGACCACGGACTTTGAACATCGGGACCCGGAATGTGCACTGGAATGAACACTTGTCGGTAAGGAGCCCGAACTCGTGAAGGAGGTTAGGAGGAGACAAGACTCAGCTGGCCTGGCCTCAACTAAGAGGAAAGGCACCCGTTCAATCACCCTGACCAAAAGTAGATCCTCTACTGGAGTGTAGTCGACTCAGCTGTTTTTGCTCGGGCGGGAGTTGGGATACTCATTAGTACCCATCTGGCGGACAGTCAATAATGTAATCCATTCAACGAGCGAATCGGAGTCTTGGCCATCGTTTAAGTCTATGGGCGAAACAGCGAGTCAGACAACGATGCGTTCTTGGAGAAGTTTTGGTAAGGGTTGAAAGTGACGTGAGGAACGATATAAGAAAATTTCCCTGCTATATTCACCTCTGTCTATAACATTCTGTTGCACAATTTCCCTCGCACTACACCGACACGTGTGGTTCCTCTCAAGGAAGGCAAGGAAAAATATATAAATGTTTTCTAAAGCCATTGAGTCACTTCTCGCTATAGGAGCAATGCAGACCGGAGCCGAGCTGATACTTTCTTTCGTTCTGATCCCCTTTGTTCTGGGCCAGACATGGGAAAGGCACAAGACTCTGGATCGAGATGGGATCATGCATTTATATTGGACACCAGATATCGAGAGCGGGGAGATCACATTCGAGCTGCACGCGAAGACCCAGGGATGGGCCGGATTGGGCTTCTCCGCTAACGGTGCCATGCCCGGATCTGACGTCGTCGTTGGATGGATCAAGGATGGACAAATCTACTTCACGGTCTATTACCCCTTATTTACTCCTTTTTTGTATCTCAGTATTATTTAAGCAGTCACGTGGAGACACTTGTGTCCACTTTGTGAGCTTTTCCAGATATTATACTGTGTTCTAGGATCAGCTTCGAGAGGAAAAGGAGAGACCGGGATCTTCGAACCGGATACCTTTTCTTCAGATTGTCTTTGACTCTGAATGCTAAATTCAAATTAATTCATTTATTTAAGAATAGTGTATGATATAAAAATGTGCCCTCCAGTTATTAGAATGGTAGAGGTTGAGTGATACCAATGCAGAGTAATTGCATTTCCATAATGAATATTTTTTTCCTCCATAAGTGAAAGGAGGAGCATCTAAAAACCTGAGGCAAGATAAGCTTGGTAAAAAATATCCTAATATCATATTAGGAGAATATTCCATTTCTATCTGGTCATAATTGGCTAAGTCTATTGTTTTGGTCCTGCGAAAGCTTAAAAATGCATAAAATGGGTACATGTATGCGATCGGGCAGGGCCACAGCTCTTGGGGTTTTCTCTAGTGGCGGTTCCTCTGGTATTGAAAACGACTGTCGTTTTCCCCATGAACAGTTTGGAACTCTTTCTTCAATACCTAGAATTAATCACGGGGCTGTAGAGCGGCATTGTTTTCTCAATCGTGAAAAGTCATAACATCGTTGGTAGCACGCGTTAAAATAACATGTTTAAAATAAGTTCTCGTTTGCTTATGGATTAACATGTTTGTTTGGGCGACTGAATCATTATTATGCTCTTCAAAGAAAATTTCAAATGAATATGGGAACTGGAGCATGCGAAAAGCGTCATCAGTGCGTCGACAGAGTGGTCTGTGATAACGAAGAGCAAAGTAATTATCCAATAGAGTTCATCAACAGTCTCAGGGGTTTGATATCATTAGAGTTGGGTTTCAAACAAGAGGCTTGGCAAGACCATGAATTTCGTTTCTTGCCAAGTCTTGACAAGATGTTCCTTTAACGCCTTGTTAAGTGTCGATAAACTTTTAAATATTTATTTTTTTGTTAGGTTCTTCCGCCCCTCATTTTACCTGTCCAACCATGTTCTCTCTCAGCACCCGAAAGGTAAGGAAGAAATAAAGCCCAATGTGGAATGTATTGAAGAATAGCTCGGCGAAACGTGTAGCAAGCAAAACTAACGAGGAAAATCATAATCCAATGGGAATTGAACTCTTATTTGCCAAATTTCTCTTATAGAAAAAAATCTCACAAATACGTGAAAATCGTGATATGGATCGTTCTGTAGGTTTCCCCGTCATGATAGGATGAGGTCTGATGGGTGTTCCTTCTCTTCTGCAGATACAAAAATGAGAGATTTCATCAGTCTTGTCGATACGATTCTCGGACATAGAAGTAAATATGTCACCGTTCCTGAAAAAATGTCACCAATTTTTAAATACGAGCCTCTACATTTTGAACTAGCGAGTTTGCCCTTTGGGCAAACAGACTCACGATGGACGCGTCTTTGACTAGCTATGATGAGAGGGAACTAATGAATTTAAAGCAGGGTAGGGAATGTATCAACTGTCTTAGAAGCTTAGGAACGTGCGGACTTAAGCGTACTTTAGATAGTGACGGTTGGTAAGATGTGCTTGTTGAGACATAAAAAAAGTCAAGTCCAAATAAATATTTTTCACTATTCCAATCGATATCATTTTGAATAACGGAAAAATGAACTATAAATGAACAGTGAATCTGTGGCAATATATTAATCGCATATATTAATAAATATTAGTTCCTGTCATCACGATACGGGTTCGAGCATATTTGTTTTAAAAGCATACAGAACTACTGAGAAGAGACTTAGAGGAAAGTTTTCCCCTTACGTGACCTCGCCAACATGAGTCTCCAGTGACGCTATCATGATTCATCATGGACATCAATCAGATGGCAACAAATTCTTGTTAGTCATTCAGTTTCTTCTCGGTACTTCCTCTTTGTTTGAAAGGATGCCACCCAGAGAGATTCGTGAATTCGAAATATGTGCAACAGCGAAATTATTGATACAATAGTATTCCAGGAATTGACTTTTTCATCAATCACTCCTCCTGCACTCGGTGGCCGAGGAGGAAGATGTGTTCCAACATAAAATGTTTTCCTTGCCACCTGTTACTAACTGTTCAAGCCTTCCATTTGGAATCCTCTGGTCATTTTATTCCGAGTTCTGTGGGCCAGGTGAGCTTGATGGGGAAATCCAGAAGCTAAATTCCGGGATGCATCCAGCTTAGTCATGACTCAGAGTTTCTGTAAGTAAGCTTACGAACAGAAACTAAACAGGAAATTGTATCACCCTTAAAATCGTGAATCGATGAATCAGACCAAAAAGGGAATCCTGTTATCACCCCTTACCTAAAAACGGTCAGTTTGACAAACTACTGCAGAGGAAACATTATCCAGGGTGGACCATTATATCTGACATATTTATTTTTGTAATTAATTAGGACTGAACAAAGTGATGCAAGTTGTTACTATATCAAAGTAAAGAAGAAACACGAGATTGTCACACAGACAATCACAGATCTAAGTCTTAAAAATTACATTATTTAAATGCTGTTTCCCAATTGATTCATTCTCTATATCGAACCACTACATTGTTCATAACTGAGTGCCTTCACCAATAGCAGTGATGGCTTCATTAATCATGATTTTAAGTTCATTACTACTTCTGGGACGTGTCTGGTACACTTTGCTCTTCAATAATCCACAGATAAAAAATTGATGCAGGATTTTGAAATTTTTTAGGCAATAGTTTGGGGGAAAGGATAATTTCTGGTTTTACCGCTGTTTCATGACCACCCCGATCCCCAGACCTGTCCGCTCCGGATTTATTCTCAAGATTCCCACAATTTGGATTTTTAAGGCCTCTCCGATTCATTGGTATGAGGTCAGATTTATATTTAAAGCTGATCAATAATTGCAATATACTAATCGGCGGTCCCGACCAAATAACCAGCTACAGTTCAAATAGCATATATATACATATATCAATATAAAATTTAAGCCTATGTGGGAGATGCCGATGCCAGATTGTATGAGCTTATAAACCTCTTCCGTGCCACGCATGTAACTTCTACCTTTGAGACGTACTGTTCAATGCATGCTTTCCACATACGTTTCAAGTATCCTGGCGAATGGATCTACGGAAAATGCGGAGATGCATTAGATGTAATACGTGCTATGAATAAAAGAACGTTAAGTTTTAATTATATTGAATCTGTGGGTTTGTGGGTAGCGGGGGTATAGGGGAAGCGGCACAGAAGGATTAAAAAACATAGGAAGCATCATCGCCATATAATCTTTGGGAGACTATCAAGCTAAGAGAAAATATGTTTTCATAGAAACGGTACAATCGTGATTGTGGTATACAACGCTACGGCTCTGACGGACTCGCACGTTAGGCGTGAAAGTGCTAAAAATAGAGACAGGCAGGTGATATGGGGAATTCCCGTTGATTTTCCCACAGTGTTAATCAATTTCCATTGCGCAAGAAGGCTCGGAAAATGCCCACATGTGCGATTCCTCTGAAGTATAACCAAATAAAAGAAGCTGAAACTTGGCCGAGGAGACTATTCCGAAGAAGAAGCCCAAGGTCAGAGAAAACATTTCCCTAATTGAGGATGTGGCTCGGCGGAAACGTGATACTCTGCATCCTAATCCCCCTGGTTCTGGGCCAGACATGGGAACGGCACGAATCATTGGATAGAGATGGGATCATGAATTTATACTGGACTCCAGATTTGGAGAGTGGGGAGATCACATTCGAGTTGCACGCGAAGACTCAGGGATGGGCTGGATTGGGCTTCTCAGCCAACGGTGCCATGATCGGATCTGACATCGTCGTCGGATGGATCAAGGATGGACAGACCTTCTTCACGGTATCAATGCCATAGATCATGTGCTCCTACATAGGCCTAGGTCTAAACTAGGGTCGTGTTTGCCCAGAAAGGATATGGAGTATAGCACTCTACATGGCTCGTCTAATTTGACAGGACAGGCACGCAGTGGGAAACGAGCTACCTTTGGTGGACGAGAGTCAGGACTACGAACTCCTCTTCGCATCCGAGGACGAGGAGGGGTTGACCCTCAGATTCAAACGTCTCATCGACACCTGCGACGAAGACGACTTTTACATTACGGTAGGTAATGTTCAATTGTCGGTATTAAGAAACTGCAGAAATGAAGAAATGAAGAAATAAAAAAAATTCCATGGTCAACTTTTATACGAGAAAAATTTAAACATAAGTTAGGTTTCAGTATAATCCCCTTCGAAGTGCTTTCGCTTGACTTGGGAAACACTTCTCTCCACGCTAGTAAAGGCTTGGAACACTGGCTGTAACCCATTCTTGGCAACCTCTTTCAAAGTGTTGGTCGCCGTTGATTGGAGAGCGCCTGTGTCGTCCAAGAAGCGGTTTTTCGGAAGGAAATTCATTCTGGGAAACAGCGTGAAGTCGGAAGTCGACAGGTCCGGTGAGTACCGAGGATGCCACTGCTGACTTGCTCAGAAAGAGCCTGCACAGTTTCCTCATTACGGTTCATCCATTCGTCATCTTCAATAGAATTCCGCCCTTATAATCCTACTTCTCGTGTGTGTGCAAGTAGTACAAGCGATTTTAGCCAGGAATCGAGAGGAAGAACGGAGTGGACGGCCAACAATAAACCGTAACGAGGAAATTGTGCAGCCCTCAGAGCTTGTCAGTTGTGATATCCTCCATACACATAAGACTTGTCGACTTGTCACTGTTTCCCAAAATGAAGTTCATCCTGAAAGGCCGCCACTTCTACCATTCTATTGGGTTGTTAAGAAAGTCTTTGGTTTTTTTTTCATTTTTGTTCATTCTCCCTTTATTCATCATAAAAACAAGATCAATCCACAATGTAAGCACCATCGTTGCCCACAACCTTCCTCCACCTTTCGGGCGGGGAGTGGATGTCCTCCCTGTAGAACGCCGGGGGCTTGGCCCTGAAGAAGTGCTTCGGGTCAGTTTCGAGCACGTTCTGGGTATCAAAGTGCTTCCCTTGCAGGTGGTTCTGGAGGGAGCAGAAGAGATGCTAGTCTGAGGGGGCTAAGTCGGGGGAGTACGGTGGGTGGGGCAGGACTTCCCACCCGAGCTCAAGGAGCTTGAGACGGGTCAACTTCATAGTATTGGGTTGGGCGTTGTCGTGAAGGAAGTAGATTTTTTTGTGCTGCGATCGCATCGTTTCGAGTTTCAGCTTCAAATGCTGCATCTAGGAGCTGTAGTAGTCGGCAGTGATAGTGGTGTTGGGCGGCAGCAGTTCCCAGTGCACGATGCCGAGGACGTCCCACCACATACTCAACATAACCTTCCGGGGGTGCAGGTCAGGTTTCGGCTCTGGCTGTGGCTCTTCGGCAGTGTCGAGCCACTGGCGCTTCCGGGTATGAGTGATGTAGAGACACCACTTCTCATCCCCAGTCACAACGTGGTCAAGCCAGTCGAAGCTGTGCCTCTGCGAGAGGAGATGGGTGCAGGGTTCAGACAGGGCATCAAGGTCCCACTGGGTCAAAGTGTGGGGCATCCAATTTCCCATCTTGGGAACCTTGCCGATAGAGTTGAGATGATTGTTGATGGTAGCGTTGGAGCAGTGGATAGTGGCTGCCAGACTGCGCGTGGTTGCTCTCGGGTCAGCCTCCACCAGGCTGCGCAGATCGTCCAAGTCCACCGAGGTGGGACGTCCTGACCTGGGTCGGTCCTCGAGGCTCCTGTCGCCGGAGCGGAAGCGACTGTACCAGTAGTGGCAGGTGTTGAGGGAGGGGGCGTCACAGCCTTCCGTCTGGCACAGATGACGGGGCGCCTGAGTAGCAGAGATGCCCAGGTCGAAGTCGAAGAGCAGGCAGTGTTGGATGTGCACGCGCTTTTCTTCCATTTTTTTCTGTCCAGAGCTCACCAAAGATGGAGTGAAAACTATGCGAGAGTGCATTAGTGAGCCCTTTATATACATGCTTAATTTTCAAACTTTTCTAAAATGCCAAAGGGCATGGCCAAAATTTGAAAGAAACTCCCAAGACTTTCTTAACAACCCAATATATGTATTCTTGGATTTACTAGTATATCCCAGGTTTTATTTTCAGATCATCTTCTTACACTTTCTCGAACATCCCCTTTTCCAAATGCGACTAGAACATGATGTATGCATTAAAGTTAAGCATACGTTCTCTTTACAGAGTGACACGTGGAGTCTTATTTATGCATATGCGGAGACGGATCCAGACGGGGAAGACCCCTTCTACCATGGACGGGACAATCGCGGGGTGAAATCATTGAATCTCCTTGATCCACAAATCGGTATTTCTTCAAAGATATCATGACCCAAACCTGTCAAATTATGAGAATTTGAATAGAATCTCCACTTTACAATGACAGGGGATATACCGGACGAACCAGGCTTGAAAATGTGGGAAATGAGGAACGACGTCATCATCCCAGCCGTTTATACCTCCTATTGGTGCAGTGTATTCAAACCACCTCAGACCGACACCAAACAACATATTATTGGGGTAACCAAAGAACACAGGGGCAAGCACTTCCCTAAACAGGGTGTCCATGGAGCGACTATGCAGCGAGTTCTTACCAATTTAATCCGAAGCAACAATTTTTCTTCCAAAGACCGACTCTCTGCATGAACACCTTGTTTATTTTCTTCAGTGCAGTCAAGATATTATTTGCTTCATTGAATGTTACAGTACCATCCTTGGGTAACGGAAGGGAACGAAGAATATGTGCACCATTATACGGTGATGACTTGCACGGTGAAAGAAGGCGAAGAGGTAATCTTCGAACAGTTCATGCAAGATTACCCCCAGGGTTCCCCTTGCTTGGAGCCTCATGCCAACATCCTTTATGATAATTGCCAAAGCATCGTGTCGGCCTGGGCAGTCGGCGGAGTGGTAACGTTTTCCATGCTCTTTCGTTTATTTTATTTGCTCCTTCTTCATTCCTGCTTAGCTGTTCAGTTGCGCTTAACAGGAGTGCAAAGAAACCAAAACCAAGCATTAATGCGGCATTCAATACGAATTCGGAGTGATGTATATTCATTACTTGCTGGAAAATGCATTTTCAATTAAGAGAAATACTTCGGAACGGTAGCCAATCTGATGCCCCTTGGAATGAGTCACGTTCTTGCTTTGTAGCACCTTTATACGTAGATAAATTCTCAACGCAGCAAAATTAAAAACCTGCATATATCGATGACGTTTCGGATTGCCTTGAAATATTTCACAGAACAGCTTTTTGACATTACCAATATCTCATTACGCCCATAAGTATGCCATTGAGAACCAAGAGTCAGTGACGGAAGCAGGATTTCCAGAATGGCGCTCGGTTCCCAGTTCTAATGTTTTTTGCCGGCGTGAGAGAAAATTAGCAGATTTCTAATTTATCTTAGAGATGCCATCCGTTCCCAGTGGGTCCACAATTGGAAGTGGAATATTTTTTTATCGTAGGAAGTGGCGAGTAGGGGGAGTATGTCGCAAGTGAATTCAAATGGATGGCCCAAAAAAGGGCACACATGCGCATTTTAGATGCGATGTTTACAAGGATTCCTTCTTTCCGTTACGTATAATGGAAAGAAATAAGACTAAGCTACAAAATTATTTTCTCGGACTTGAAATATCTTGGAAGGTGACCTGAAAAAATTTGAACTTCGGTTACAAAAAATTTGCATGGCACTCACTGACTGCATACAGAGGCAGGCAGACACATCCAATCATCCATGCGACGTCTGCTGAGGTCAGCGTTTCCCTTTCCATTGTCACGAGTGCTGGGCCGTCAAGGAGATGTTTGGTCGAGTCGGTGAGTACCACGCTGATTTTGGTAACCGAAATTCAATGATTATTTTCTAACTGTAAATATTTTAAAGCTGTGTTTCTGCCCTTCTTTTAGGGCATTTTTATATATAAAGAGACCTCTTTAGTGCAAGTTCATCAAAGGGAATTCTGAAGAGGAGAAACATGTTCAAGTGTTCAAAAATTGCACGAAGATTCAAGTCAAAATTACAAATGGAGAAATTAGATATACTAGGTCGGATCAAAAAGTTCCAGTACTTTTATTCGTATATTTTATTTTTGATAAGTACATAAAAATTATTTGTTGTCCCCTTCAAAGTATTCCCCCCTCGATGCCATGCACTTATCCCAACGCTCCTGCAACTTCTGGAAGCAGTGCTGGAAGTCCTGAAGTGTTAGACTCTTAAGCTGCCTCGTCGCATTTTCCTTGATGCTTACAATGTCTTTAAATCTTTTTAATTTCAGGTGAAATTTAATATTGGGGAACAGGAGAAAGTCACACGGAACCAGGTCCAGTGAATAGGGAGGGTGGGGCAACACAGGAATTTCTTTAAAGGCAAAAACTCTCGAATTGTGAGAGCAGTGTGGGCTGGAGTCTTCTCGCGATGCAAAAACCAGGCTTCATTTTGGAAAAGTTGGGGCTGTTTTCTCCTAATTTTTTCTCGCAGACGGGTCAAGACATCTTTGAGTGAAAGCCTGCTTAACTGTCTGGCCTTGTGGGACAAATTCATGATGCATCAGGATCATAATGCATGATCGAAAATTCGACGAAGGGCACTGAGACGACCGGATTTCAACGCTCGTGATTCGCGACTGGTTAATCCTAGCGCAAAGGAGGTTTCAACATGCGTGCGGTAAACCCCCCCCAATCCAACCTACACAAGTCCTAGCCGCCTACCTAAAGCGGTTTATTTTTTAACAAGTAAGTACTGGAACTTTTTGATCAGACCTCGTAATCTAAAGACCACGTGTGGATTGAAGATGTTAACACCTTTTGGTGCTCCTCTGACATTGACGGTCATAGTGGTAGCGACCGAATTCCCAATTGGCATAATTTCAACACAACATATTGATAATCATTGAATAATTATTCCGTGCATGTGAATTCATCATTCAGTTGTCGGCTGCAGGATTAATGTGGCGGGTAGTTTCCGGTTCGCTTTTTTACTTTAATCCGACATTGTACTTTATTATCTTCCTATCGATGTTTGGAATGTGTGAAAAGCTGTTTACTTTTGCTTTGTTGTGACCTCGTTGGATATACTGGATAATTATCGTTGTTTTATTACTATGCACTCGCATGCATGCAGGTGTATTCTGATTATTCATTTCTAGTTTATTATATTGATGTTGACATTTTTTGGCACGAAAATATTGCTTAAGTTGCTTCGAGGAATTGTCGGCATATACCATTCGAAATCCCACTTCTCAAGGCAAGGATCTGAAGCTGGCAGCCCGCTAGCCCATTTTTATCTGGGTAGTGAAGACTTATTGGATTAGGGAAAAAACATGCCTGATCCGAGCCTGTGCGTACCAAAAATTTATGAAAAAACAAATTAGGATATTATAGTGTGATTCCCTACCATCACTGAAGGACCCTGTCCTGCCCCGAAACTAATCGAGTGACACCCTTGCATAAAGAATCCGTGTTAAAATTTATCGTAGAAGAAAATGCCCCGATGTTGTCACCTACCGAGTAATTGCCTATTGATTCCATATTTATTTCAGGGCGAAAATTACCCAAAGAATGCAGGCTACCCCCTGAATCCAATCACTGAAGGACCCACATATTTCATGATGGAGTTGCATTACGACAACCCCCTGCTCATAGAAGGGATCCACGACGATTCGGGCCAAATATCCTACTACACCGACAACCTCCGCACCTACGACATGGATCTCTTAAGCATGGGTTATAATATCATCTACACCCAGGTGACTATAAGATCATACATGACTCGTAAAATTGACTTTTGAATTGCAATCTGCAATGAAAGTATCAGATGAAAGGGCCACCATCTTAGCATGTGGGATACTGGATACTCGGTGAGCCCGATGAGGCAATGAGTACACAGCAAAGCAGAAACGTACAGTCAGGTACACATTTTGTACGTTATGAGGCACAAACGTTGTCGTAAAATACGTTCGTTGAAAAGGTACAGAAGGTACACATGTGTACCTTTCTTATGAGATAAGTGTAGCCCGAAAAGGGGGTTCAAAAACCGGTTCTAGACCTCAATTGAACTGCACCGAGAACCCGGACATCTGCGTCAGCAACGTACACATGTGAACGTCTGGACCACACGTGCAGACCCGAGGGACACAATACGAGTATGTACCTCTCACATTTGTACCTCTCCTTGTACGTTTCTACTTTGCTGTGTAGTGGAAACAAAGGGCAACATGCAATGGGTCCTGCCGTCTAAACGTACAGTCTCCACTTAAGTTTCCTTAAAGGTATTATAGACATCAAGGACTACAATAGTCACTTGCAAAGACCTCCACCTTTCTAAGATGAATTCAGAGGCAACATTTTAGAAGAAAAATAAAGTTGAAAAAATCTTTGCTGCGTGCATCTACGTAACTAGTTACCACATTAGTTCATCCCATCTTTGAGGGTATGGCAAAGATGACCTGAGATTTTTCACCTTCATAAATCTGCAGTAACTCCAGCCATTCTTACGACGTTTTTCCCGTGCTTTGGCGAATATGTTATCGATATCTCATGGAAATTTCATGCAAATTCATTCCGCTGCAGCAGGGCCATGGAAAATTAACGAAAATAAATTGCACTTGGATGGTGGACAGAGTGTTCAACTTTCAGAATGACAAGATTCCGCATTTAAACTCTAAGTGTTAGAGCTCGCTTCAACTCCTAGCAGGGGCCACCGTCTACTTTCAATATCTAACTTACTTTGAATAATCGCTCATAGCCTCGTCTTGGTTTGATGTATTTATGAAAATTCGCAAGCTCTTTTAAAACGTATCAGTGTATGCAGGGAGCGAGTATTGTTAAAAATAAGAAGAACAAAGATGTTATTAGTTGAAAATCGGGGGCCTTTTGCCATGCTTTCTGGAAGATAAGCTTCCTATGTCACTATTTTACTAATGCTTCATCTTCGATTCAACTGGGTCAAATTATTTTTGAGATTTAATGTGCTTTTCTAAAGTCTATGACTTAATGACTAGAGCATAGTCATCGAACCATCATCATCTCTAAATGTATAACCCATATCTTTCCCTGAAATTCAGTCTGACTAACGAATTCCAATTCCAAACTCCTTCGCTCTTACAGCTCGTCCCACCTAGAGTGAACAATTTCATGACACTAGGACACTGTCCTGGGATATGTACAGAGATGCTGCTTCCTCCCGAGGGCATTCAGATCTTTTCAGGACAGTTACATTCCCATTTACTCGGTACATCTCTATCGCATCTATTCCTTACTTCTTCCCAAGTGGCTCGGGGACGCTCAAGAGATGTTCAAATGAACGTCCTATTTAGAGTTCAGTCGGCGTGCAAGGAACCCTCACGGAGGTGTTCAATGGAGTGCTCCATTGGTAGAAACTAGGAAATTTCGAAGTATTCATTCCATAAACGTTCATCAAGGACTTGGAAAGGAACGTTCCAATTAACACCGGAACGTTTCAACGAATTCCCCTTTTACAGTTTACCTTGCGTGCAATGAACATCCCGCATTCCTTGCCAAGACTTTCAAGTAGCTAAGTCTCTCTCGGTCTGGTCGGAAGTGCCACCTTCCCCTGACTTCTTGTGGGGGTGAGTACCGGATGAAAAGTACAGGGGACTTATTGCAGCCGCATCAGGAAGTTACTCACTAAATCGGAGATTCGAACGCCATCTCGCTTCGGTTGCCGGAACCTTATTTCTTGGAGCAACTGCTAGGTGGCTTGCCCTGTCTTATCTAAGTTATACAGAAACCTTCAAATGATGTTTTTGAACGTCCTCTTGGAAGGGGTTTATTCACTTGCATGAACCTACAATTAACATCTCTTAAACACACAACTAACACCCTTCTGCATATTCAAGAGGAATATGACATCAGCGATCAAATAAAATTATTATAGAGCACTCAAAAGCTGCCCATGCAAAACGATCCGAACCTATTTGAACAGTTTTGAACGTTTCCTTGATCAGTCTTGCGTAAAAGGATGACATTTAACCGTGAAATCTCGTCTTGTCCGAAATCATGTCACTGTATTGGCCGTGTCTGGTTCAATAGGAGGAAGAACCGAGTGTGGCAGAAGACATTGCTCGATGGAAAGAAATTAGGGAAAATAGCACTTCCAACCAATCCCAGAGAGAGATTCGGCAGCATGAAAGTCCCGGCAGGGAAATGAGATGTTCATTGAAAGTAGGCCGAATAAAAAATAAGGGGTTTTCTTGGGAAGTTCTGGTGCCTCTTGGGAACGTTTATTACAAGTCTTTGATGAACGTTCGGGAAATGCATCGTTTGAAGGATTTGAAAGCCTTAAATCCAGATATTTGAAGAGTCTGTAAAGCGCTTTCGTGGACGTCCCTTGCACGTTGGCTAAGCAATGAGTTCATTGAACATTTCTTGAAAGTTCCGGTAGAACTTGGTTGTAGCCATTTCCTCATTGTGACGTTAAGATTCCTTTATCACGTAAGGGAGGAAGATGAGAGCCCGAATATTCAGGGATGGGGAGGAACTTCCCTGGATCCTCCACGACGAACACTACGACTTCAATTATCAGCAGAGTCGCGTTCTTCGAGAGGAGTTCACGCTTCTTCCCGGAGATCACATTGTCACCGGTAGGAACGATTCCTTTATGTTGGAGTCGGGAAAATCTAACTATTTTAGGTTTCATCCTTCTACGCTCCTGCCCCTCTCTTTTTTTATAAGGGAATTTTTTTATGATGCGAGCGCCATACTCTTGATTAAGCCAATAAACAGTACGAACCCAACAATAAGCAGTCGATTGGTGCTAAAAGTGTCTTGGAGAAACCATCACGATGGCATTTGTCCAACATAAATTGGACGTGAAGTCCGGATTTTACCTCTTGGTTTAGGCTTCTTGCTAGGAGCAGCCTGTTGCTAAGCACAGGATTCAGCTACGATGAGCTCGGTGTCCATTGACTTGAATCAGTTAAATCAGTCCATCCTTGAGGGAGGGTCTTGAAGCAGCGACGCGACACTGTTAGCCATGATCAACCACGATGGTTTTTAATCTTGATCATCAGGGCTATATTTTAGGAATGAAGTGAAGACACTTCCTTTTAACTTTTTGGAGTTATTCCAACATTTTCAGATAAGGTGGATAATGGATGTTTTCCATACTTGGATGAGAATATATACAATTATTCGCAGAAATTAAATTAAATAGGAGGATGCCCTTGAATATCTCAAGAGCCTAAACATTTTGTTTATCCCGTCTAGAATGCGAGTTAGATTCCTCTGATCGTGACTTGGTGACACTGGGAGGACTGACGACCCATGATGAGATGTGCCAATTTTTCGTCATGTATTATCCCAAGGTGGAAGGTCTTATGCATTGCGCTTCGAACGTGGACTTTCAGTACTTTCACACCTTATTTCAAGTCGGCGGGATCAACTTAAGCCCGTGAGTTCTGAAGGTTGCGGAGTGATAGGACAGGTTAAAAGGAACGGGATAATAGTCGTAGGTGGTCTACGCACTTTCATTTTTTCTCATTTTTGCATTTTCTTCCGTTTCTGAGAGATATTTCCTCTCCAAATAATTTTATTCCTATGAACCAACAGCGATCTTCGTTTCACCACCCCTGGAGTTTAGCATCGTAGAATGAAATTCGACGAATAAGTTCCTCCCATCTTGTCTCCGAAGTCGAAAACGAGAAGACGAGATAAAACATCCCTATTCCGCGTGTGATCAACACCATTTAGTATTGATATAGTCACTTTCGATTCATCTAATGCCTCATAAAAAGTACAACCATTTTCCCAAATTCAGATGAGGAATATGGTCGTAGGAGCGTAGAAAAAAGAAGATTTATGCACAATTAAAGAAAATTTCTGCTTTGAAACGATTTTTATATTTAAAAGTGATTCCCTTCCCAAATCGTTCGGGGTACTTCGCACCCACGCCTCCTACACCTGAAGGCGCGTTATTCCCTGAACAAACTATTAGTTCATCACATATTGGGTGTTGCTAACTTAACTTCACCTTCACACTTCCTGCAATTTAACAAGTCGTTCAAAGCTTGTCGTGGCAATAAAGCTCACTGAAAAAAATTACTCCTCTCCTTGCCAACAATCACGGAGTAAAATTCATTCACGATGAAGAACGTCTGGATATACGGGCTTCATCTCCTCTTGTCCTAATGGTTCAAGCGGCCTTCGATGGTGACATCTCGATCGCTGAATCCCTAAGGATTAACGAAGTTAGACGAGAGGAATTCAGGGTCACCATTTTTTTGCGGATTGTGAATATGTTCGTCGAAAAGGCCAGTGTTACTTAAGTACAGAAATTAAGTTTCACGAAATGTTTCTCATGCATAGACAACAAATTAATAAATAAAAAAATCTTCCAAGTGGACGGCAATAAAATTAAATAAAATTAATCAGATAAAGGAAAAAAACTTACAGAGATCGGTAAAGGAAGGACGTAAATGAAATAATATCAAGCTCACTTATGAGTATGAGCGTTAGTGGTTGTGACGAAAGTTTCATAGAAAGGAGTACTTAGCCCGATGATCCATCCCGTGGGGAAGCTAAGACCGATTTTTTTCCTCTGCTCGAAAGAGAATCACTTGACTGGGAAGTGGACGGAACGAACCAAACCCTGCGCGAGTACTTGAGGGACTTCGATTGGGAGAATTTTGACCTTGAAGCCTACCAAGAATCGGTTCGATTCAACCCTCAGCTAGCACTCTGCGGGCGATTTCCCGACGTTTTCGTAAGAATTTCCTCCTTTTCACGAGTTCCCATCGTTGTACAGAGCATGCTTGCCTATTGATGTCGGATTGGTCCTTCTTGGCAGGAAGTGGAGGACGTGACATTCCCGGAATACGAGAGCGATTACCATCCACCTCCGAGACAATGCCCTTTCGAAAGCCCCAATCCTTAAGCTGTCGCTTCCGTTTCAGAATTAAAATATATTCATTTGACTTTCCGGATGGACGACTGTGGTTGAGTCGGTGGTTTCTTCCTAGTTACTTCTTTCCATTCGAGGAGAGCCCAGAAAGAGTCAGTAAGCTTCAGATTCATGCAATCTGAACGATAACAGGAATGAACATTTTTCTTTTTTTTATAGATAACTATCATCTGTCTGAGGGTGTTCATTCAGTAAAATTAAAGTGCGAACATTCTAACTCATCATATTCGCATAATTTGTGTGGACCGCTTTCCTTCGGTGGTCTCTACTGATCCAGAATTAACCGTAGAAGCGAACAAAATATAGCAGGAAAAAGCCTCAATTCTGCAGTACCCTTGGGTGATGCATTTACACCTCGTACTCCTGCCAACTCGTGATTTTGACAAGGAAAAGGAAAAAACGAACAAAAATAACTGGAAAACGGGTAAAAGCTCAAATTGTTATCTGAAATTTGGGAGAGCAGGCTCTTTGAATGTGAATCCAGAATCCGGGATCAAAAATCCGGATCAGGGTGGACGACAGTGGGGAGGGAGGGAGGAGGGTAGAACCGAACGTTTTGATTTACACCACATTCCTCAGCATTCTTCAATATCAACTCTCGGTGGATACTCCTTCAACTCTTCATGTCTCTATTGAAAAGCTTTCGCCCTTCCCAACTGAGCAGAACCAGAAGAAAAAGCCAGCAAGAGGGAAATATGGTAAGTCAGAAGTGTTGACTGCAACTTCCATGAAAGTGGATTCGGAAGGGAAATAAGTCAAGAGAGATAATAAGAGAATCTTCGAAACGGAAAGAAAGCTACTGCTCGCTGGGACGAATCATCAAAAAGAAAAAAGGGCAAGGAAGATATTCCGAACAAAAAGACGAGCTGCTAGATGAAAGAGAAATTACTCTACCTCTTCTGCGATGAGGAGCCACTAGTTGGGGACAACGTGATGTTCTCGGTTTGTGAGAAGCGGTTTCGCAAGAAGTACACAGAGTTTCGGGTACTTCCAAGGGGTACGTGTGTGATTTCCGCTCGTAGCAACATTAAGGGCGCTTTTCGGATTTTCCCCTCATAATCTTCGAATTGACCCCAGCTACATTGGTAAATTCGAACTAGGCCATTTATGAAAAATATAGAGTAAGAAATATATGTTAGTTGACAATGACTTTCTCTTGAGTTCTAAAACTTAAGCTCTAAATTCAGCAGAAACTGATTCAAAGTATCGCCAAGCTCGCTATTTCTGGCCTATGTAGCAGATTATCATTCGGTACTCAGTATGAACCCATTATCCTTATTTATTCCCCAATATTCATAAAGCTGTGGCCCAGTTTCCATATGGGAGTACCGTACAGCCCTCAAGTGGTTTCATAATCACAACCACCTTAAATGTTCAATCGAGTTTCCTAACCTTGGATAACCGTGGATATTTTAATGCTGCCGTTAATTGTGTTCCGGATGAAGTCGAGTTTCGGATCTCGACACGAGAGATAAAGCTAGACTGAAAATGTTTGGGAAGGGATTCCTTCTCGAGTCCCTCTTTTCCACATGTAAACGACCTTGATTTCCAGCGACACCGTAAGATTTGTTATCGTCCATTCCTCTGTTGGCCTATGGGAAAATGGCACACTTTGCTGCCGTTCTCTCACTTTCTGTCATTTCCAGTGGCCTATGGGAAAACGGCAGATATGAAGATACGCGGAGTGTGCAGGACGAGAGGAGGAGAGAAGGTATGCCCACAAGCAGGCGAGAGGCAAGCTGAGAGCTAGTCTCGGAGCGCACATGCTCATTCACCTAGCAGGATTTTCTCCTATTGCAAAGGTTAACAGAAAAAAGCGAAAAAAGCGACTGCAAATGTCAATGCGACTCTATCAAAATATTCACATAAACCTCGCTGTCCTGTTCGGCACTCTGGCAATATATGAAAGGAGAATTTAGTACAATATCAGTATTTAGATTGTAAGGACTTCCCTTTGCCTATACAATCATTTAATAACTATATCCCACCTTTTCGCCCTGCCTTCGGTCGACCTCCATTTAGTCCGGGTCTCTTTAAAACTGTAATAGCAGGTAAGTCTGTAAGTCTACGTCTATATTCAAAGCGGCATTTGGACGGAAAATTATGGGAAGAAACTCCCTTCCAGCAAGTTTTAAAGGCACACGTAGGGTCATTACTCTTTGACATTCTTTTCGAACCACAATTCTATCAAGTCAAAAAGACATGGATATTAACATATTTCAAAGAGATGCCAAGTATTGATAGTACGAAATTCTCTATGTAAAGCCTGAATGCACTTGTTTATTCGGAAGAAACAAAAGTAGTGCCATGATAGCTGTGGAAGGCAAGAGAGTAACCTACTGTCGCAGGAGCTCGGAAAGATATGGTTATTCCTGTGCAAGGCATTTGGTTTTGTGGAGAGCACTTGACCTGGACAGGTTTTGAGGGCAACGTCCATGATTCTGACATTTATTTGTTGCTAACAAGACAACCTAGACAGTAGGTTGAATTAGCAAAAAAGGTATGGCTACGTTAAAAGTTATGGAAGTTACGGCTACGACAACTTTGACCATCTAGTGATTCTATTCGTATTCGAGTCAGATACCCCTGGTTCTGGGCCAGACTCAAACGTGGGAGAGGCACGAGTCCTTGGATCAGGATGGGATCGTGAATTTGTATTGGACTCCGGATTTGGAGAATGGGGAGATCACGTTCGAGTTGCACGCGAAGACTCAGGGATGGGCTGGATTGGGCTTCTCTGCCAACGGTGCCATGACCGGATCTGATATCGTTGTTGGTTGGATCAAGGATGGGCAGACCTTCTTTACGGTATCGATACCATGGATCATGTGTTCCTAACTAGACAGAGGTCTTTTCTAAGGTCGACTCTGCACACAGAATTTGCTGCCCGTCATACTGAAAGTAATGACTAATTTGGCAGGACAGGCACGCAGTGGGAAACGAGCTACCTTTGGTGGACGAGAGTCAGGACTACGAACTCCTCTTCGCATCCGAGGACGAGGAGGGGTTGACCCTCAGATTCAAACGTCTCATCGACACCTGTGACGAAGACGACTTCTACATTACAGTAGGTGGCGTTCTATTGTCGGTCTGAAGAAAATCTATATATTCTTTTTTAAATATTTGATTCTAGGAATCGTTTCCAGTTGTAAGTTTTCCCTCGCTAGATTATACAGGGTGGGCTAAAAAAAAGCCGCCCAAAATTTGAAGCTTCATAACTTGGGCCCCGTTGGGCCAATATCAATTTTTAAAAAGCAAAATGAAGCTTGTTTAATTTTCTTTCGACGGATATATCTAATTTCGGGGGGTGTGTTGGAGATAAATGGCCGCTATTACTGTTTAAAGAAAAGTGACGAAAAAATTTCCTGAGTTCTTTCCAATGTCGCGCTGCTGCTATCGCCTGTTTCTCCTGCGCACCCCTTTTCCCACGCGCCCTTGCATGATACGGATTGGTTGATGAGAGATCATGCAATCATGAGGCGAGTAACATGAGGCTGTTGTAGATCGTGGAGGGAGGCACATTGAACCATTTTTGGGTCATTAAAAGGGTCTGTGAGCATGAGTGATAAATTCGAGATTGAGGAAAAGGGACTTAGAGTAAAAGCCCATTTTCAAAAAAAAATTTAATCACATTTTTAAAGACTGTAATAGCGGCTATTTCTCTGAAGCAAGCCCCCAAAATTATATATCATTCGAAAGAAAATTGAACAAGCTTCATTTTGCTTTTAACAAAATTGATAATGGCCCAACGGGCCCAAGTTAATAAACTTCAAATTTGGGGCGTTTTTTTGGCCCACCCATAATATAAGACACGTGCACATATAATTTTAATAGTTGGATACCGTATATGACAACGAATATGAAGTTTTTGACATTCCCGAATAGGAATGTTTTGGTGAAAGTCATACAAGGAAATTTTCATTCAAGTATCAGTTTTAATTATTAAGCCTTTTTAAAAAAATGAAAATGAAACTCGATGCAGAGGGTCCAAATTCATAATCTTTCAAAAGCTGAGATTTTGAAGCTTGTAGTCCTAGTATGAAAAGTTAAAATTCATAATAAATTCTAAGTTTTTTTTAATTAGCGTCTTTAGTTAAATTCAATATTTGAAGGTAATTTGAACATTTTTCCGATTTCCACTAATTAAAATATTCCTTGCAAAATCCCGCATACTTATACTCCGACTTACTTATTGTAAGTCACCGTTTTTGTTTAGACTGGAAATAATATTAAAAATAAAACGTAAAAAATGCGAGAACAATACCTATAGAATAAACTAAACCTTTCATAGGAGAAGTCCAAGTATTCAATACAATTGGATCATTGGACATGCGTGCTCTTCACAGAGTGACACGTGGAGTCTTATCTACGCGTACGGGGAAACGGATCCAGATGAGGAAGATCCCTTCTACCATGGACGGGACCATCGCGGCGTGCATGCCATCAATCTCCTCGACCCACAAATCGGTACAGTTTCACGCGTATCATGACCCGAGCCTTTCATTTTTGACAAACTGGAAAAAGATTTTTTTCCCTCCACTTGACGCTGACGGGATATTCCGGACGAGCCAGGCTTGAAAGAGTGGGGAATATTGAACGACATCATCATCCCGCCCATTCATACGTCTTATTGGTGCAGTGTATTCAAAGCACCTCAGATCGACACCAAGCAACATATTATTGGGGTACCAAATTTTGGAGCGGGTAACATACATGGTGTCCATAAAGTGACTGTATGACCTACTTCTTTAATTTCAACATGAAAAAATTCATTTTTGCGTCTGAAGACTCAATACCAGACCATCAGAATATTATCATGAAGTGCAGTCATAATTCACCTTCTCCAAATCATTGAACATTACAGTACCTTCCGTGGGTAACGAAGGGGAACGAGGAGTACGTGCACCACTTCACGTTGTTGACATGTACAGTGAACGAAGGCGAGGAGTCTGTCCTTGAGCAGTTCATGCAGGATTATCCTAAGGGTTCCAATTGTTTCGATCCCGCTGCCTACATCATCTATAGTAAATGCCGAAGCATCCTGTCGGCCTGGGCCGTCGGCGGAGTGGTAACTTTCCCCTTCCTCCTTTCATTTATTTTAGTCACTTTCTTTAATCCAGCTTTAATCCACAGGTGTTCAGCTGCGCTTGACTGGAGTTCACAGAACTAAAAAACGAGCATGAAGAGGGTTTAGATGGGAATTCGGACGGACAGAGGAATCGAAATTTATTATTTGCTTCCCTCATTCAGCAAAAAACGTGAGAAAGATAACCAAAAAGATGCAGGTCTTTGCTCATGGAATGGCTACCTTAGCTTGTTTTGCTGCTCCAAGATGCATTCATGTCTTTTCAAAATGCAAAATATACACGCGAAAATTAAAACTTGGACAATATTCATCGATGGCATCATGTATAGCCCCAAAATACCATTCAAAAAGAAAAACTTGAACAGTGCAGGCAACAGGAGAAGGCGCTCGCCCGAACGGATCTGCGTGGGTTCCGTCAGACCGGAAAGAACTGTGGGCAGAGTGTGTAAGGGACATTTAGACAGAGAAAGGGAATAATGAACCTGTGCTTAAGTTTATCTCCTCCCAGTACACCTCGAGTCGGAGTTAACGGGCACAGGACTCCGGGCGATTTTCTCTTGGCCAGCAAAGGGACAGGTAATATTAAGCGGTGGCGTATCCCCAGGGGATACACCACCGCTTAATTTTTACTTAACCGTTGCTATGTGTACCGTCCAGAAAAACTTAATGGGTATAGTTTATATATTTATTCATACCAGTACTGTATGTCCTTAATACTCCCTACGTCCTAAAGCCCTACCCCACACCCAAACCAAGTCTGTTTGAATGAAGTTCCTAGCTAGTGCTAGACAACTACAATCTTCATAATTAATATTCGAGGCGCTACCCATGCACAGATTAGCCAGAGCTAGAAATGAGATTTTTTTGAGTCGAGGGGGCGGGAAGGAGGCTACAGGGTAATGACTGATGGAAAAAGGAGATCACCGCACTTGAACGGTCATAGTGAAAGCGGCCGAATTTCCAAGGAATGGCCCTCTCTTGCTCCCAGCTTACTCCAATTTGATGCTGCTGCCTTTTGGAATATCACGATTAAATTTTTTTGTATCCGCAAGTATTTCAGGGGAAAAGTAGGTCTCTCACTAAGGTATAAAGCTTATATAAATAAAGTCCCTCTTTCAATGGGTCGCTTGCGGCCTATGGGCTAACTTGGTCGAAGATTTCCTGGTAGCTATTTAATGATGGAGATGCATTATGACAACCGAAAAGACTATCTACCCTAGATGCTATTAAGGCCAGTTTATTATATGATGTGTCTTTTATGGGCGTGGGTACTGAACCTGGAGGACTGTTACCCAGTGTTACAGTAGATATGTGTCCATTAATGACCGTTTCACATGATTGGTAAAAATTGACAAAATAATGGCTGTCTCGAAATTCTATTGGCTGGAATGGCCACAAACTTGAGCTGTAGAGTATTACGTATTCGATGAGTCTATTTACTCTGAGTTGAGTACGCGATAGACGACAGGTAAATGCCTTCCACAGGCGCAGTCATCCCAGTAATGCAGACATCCATGACGATAATACTCACATGACAAGCCACTACTATTTCAAGATGGATTGAAAGGCAATTTTTGGGAAAATAATGGTATGTTTCAGTATTTCTGGCTTCAAAATACAAAGCTATCATGCTGCCTCCGACCATATTTCAGAGCATCCGATGCATAACTTAAGGTATGACAAAATTGATGAAAAAATTGCAATATTACTAATCCTGTACTCACTTGAGCCAGGTTTAAGAAACTTGTACTTTGCATGGACTAATATTCCTTCAGCACTTCCTTGTAATTTAATAGTTTCATTGCACCACGTTATTCATTATCTCTAAACGATGATTGAAAATAAATCGGAAATTGAAAATGGACTGGAGTCTCCAGGCTCCGGCAGCAATACTCTGCACATGCACCTCGAGCACTCGGCGCTTCCTCCCTTACCCTCCCAGCAAATAGCCTGTCCTCTTCCAATACATAGCATATTTTGAATAACTGATTATACGCTCGCTTTGGCAATATGCATATGAATCAAATCTTAGAAGTCCATGCAAACATGCAGGAGCTAATTTCGAGAAAACAACACCAAAGAGCGGAGGTTTATTGATCAAACGTCGAGGGGTTTTTTTACACTATGTCCTGCGAAAGACTATACTTTCATTGTTATTCCTAGATTGATGCTTCATTTTCGATTCTATCAGATTGCATGAATTCTAAGAAAGGAAGCTCCATTCCATGCAACTTCTTGCACATCGCCCTCGAAGAACATATTCTGCAATATCTATCTTTCCAACCAAGTTTAGGCTGACTGGATTCAGCTTCCAATTTTTTTTTCCAGCTCGTACCACCTGGGTTGAATCATTTCATGTCAGTGGGACACTGTCCCGGGGAATGCACAGAGATACTGCTTCCTCCTGAGGGCATTCAAGTCTTCGCTGCACAGTTCCATGCCCACCTCCTCGGTACAAATATATTTCTTCTGTTCCTTTAACATCTTTTGCTGCCTTTGGGGTCGCAAACAGTATTTAGAATTTTTGGCGTAAATCAGAACTTTCCGACACAACTTACACCGTTCCTGGCTCACATGGACACTCACGCAGAAATTTCAGAATGATCGTGTTGGAGTTATTGATTGAGGGGAAGGAGCAACAAGGTTTTTCTTGAAACTCTCTGAAAATTAGTACTTCACAGACAATACTGGACTGTACAATAATGGAAGTTTTTCTACTCTTCATATCATACCGTGGACATTTTCGAACATTGTACGTCTATCCTAGATTCATAATATTATTTCCGACTGTCACTTCGACGAATTGATACCAATGAATCAGTTACCAATCAGTACCAATGAATCTGTTTCCTGGTTTTTTAAATATTGTTTTATTACTTGCATACGGTTTTAAACCTCATCCAAAAAGAAATGGAATGCTAAAGAGATATCGGAGTAGTTCTACTACTGTAAGAAAGGATAATGCTTTCCCTCCTTCTACTTTCGGGCTTATAAGTCCCTACCGGTCCTTTAAGGGACCCAAGAGGTACTGCTCGTGATGCTGAAGTTGATGCAGCAGAGCCGAGTCCTCCGAGAGGAGTTCACGCTGCTTCCTGGCGATCACATAGTAGCAGGTAGTAACATTTATTTATTTTGGAGTTTGGAGTCTCATCTTCAATTAGACATTTCCTTCCAAAACCCATCATTCTCTCTTTCATCAGCCAAAATCAGCTTCCCTTTACATATATCTTTTAGAAGAGTTGATTGTGGGGAGAAGAGGTCTTCATAAGAGAGATATTGCAGATTTTCCATTCTGGAAAATGAAAATTATTAAGCAATATTCAAGTGGTAAAGCCAATCTTGCCAGAGGCAACAGAAATACCCGACCATTATAGGTTATTTGGCGATAAAAGTTAAATGTATAAGTACCTAGGTATATTAGCGATCACGATAGCAATAGTCCGACGTAGACTGGACCAGCAACAAGGCCTAGTTAATATTTTGGCTTACTGGGATAGTTCCAATGCTAGGATGAGTAAGTCAAGCCATCGCAATTCTTTCATTGAAGTCCATGGAGTCCATGATTAAGATTTACTTTAGATTTACTTTTGAATTAATTTAAATTTTCACAATTATGCCTTAACTTTAACATATAATTTGACGACATCATTATAAATTAAAAGGAAATTCAATATAATCCGAGGAAGCCATGAACACGTGACTGCCCACGTGCATTTGACAAGTCATCAATGGCAGCAGAACCGATTGCATACTGGTTGAGATAGGCAGTCAATGCGTTAAAATTTTGGTTATCTTTTTTCAGAGTGCGAGTTGGATTCCTTGGAAAGAGATTTGGTGACGCCGGGAGGATTTACGACTTATGCTGAGATGTGTCAATTGTTCTTCATGTATTATCCCAAGTTAGAAGAGCTGAACCAATGCGCCTCGAACGTGGACTATAAGTATTTTCACACCCTCTTTCAAGTCGGTGGGATCCATCTCAATCCGTAAGTTCTCAATTGTCCGGAGTAATGAGACTAAAATAAACGGACTGCAGTTGACGTTCTCGTATACAAGTGACCAGCCCCCACAGAAGGTGCACCTGCAACCACCAGAGGTGAATGACAGAGTGGAAGGAGGAGGGGGTGCACGTTCTTACGAAAACATATTGTATGATCATATAAGATTTTGTAGCAAAAAAAATGTATAGGATTCTTATAGAAATCCTATAGGGTTCTTAAAGGATCCTATAGGAATCCTATTTTTAGGTTTAAGGAATCATACAGGATCCTATAGGGTTTTCCCATAAGGGTGTCTCATCTGGAGGACAGGATGTGAACTTTGACATCCGCCTGGGAACTTCAGGCATTTAGGATAGAGACTATTTGTCAAGCCTGCTGCTAAATAATCGCGATAGGGTTTGCTATGTAGATCCCCTATCAATTTCGATTCATCTATCCTAACGATCTCTGCGTAACAGGATCATCAAACTATACAATCACTGGATACAATCAGCTTCACAAAAATGTATTATTTATCTTCTAGGGGAGAGGTTCTTACCCTGGGGTCCTTGGATCTGAGTGGTCCGTAGGTGCAAAAAGGTTAAGAACCTCTCTTCTTGAGAAAAATGAAATGAAAATATACAGTTCCAATAGGTTTTTCTGAGCCCCTTAATTGCCAAACTCATCCATCCTTTCCCCATCCTTCGATTAACTCCATCGGTCTCCATCTTTAGACAATCCAAGTTAGACCAACTTGCGTATCGAAAATTGTGATTATTGAATTCTAAAACTGCATAATCATGTTCCCCTAACAGTATAATTCTCTGGCATTTATATAGAAGAACATGGAAATTTTCATTCGTAATATTCCCATGATTTACAGATGGAATTTACAGACTGGTCATGCTATGTAAATTATGAATTTCTTTCCACAAAAGACCAGCGATACTCAAGTTCAGAAGTGTAATGTCCTCATAATGTTTTCATGCGCAGACCTACAAGCACAAAAAAAAAACTCTCATGAAGACAATGTTAAAAAAACGTAAACGAAATAATATACTGAAATAAGCTGTTTTATTAACTGCACGAATAAAAATGCAGTTAATGAAACAAAATCAAGTTCATTCCCGAGTACAACCATGAGTCTCATGAATCGAAGTTTTCATTACACAGGTTATTTTTAAGGACGTTTCCTACCCAGTGCATGCTAAGTAAGACCGACATATTGCTTCCTTATTCGGAAGGGCATCCATTGACTGGGAAGTGGACGCGACGAACCAGACCCTCCAGGAGCACTTCAGGGACTTCGATTGGGAGGATTTCGATATGAAAGCCTATCAAGAAGCGGTTCGATTCGGCCCTCATGTAGCTCTTTGCGGACGAAATCCAGACTTTTTTGTATGAATCCCTTTTATTATTTATTTTTACATAATGCTGTTCGCCTGGTCATGTGTGGACTGGTCCTTTCTTGCAGGAGGTGAAGGACGTGACATATCCAGAATATGAGAGCGATTATGAACCCCCGCCGAGACATTGCCCCGTCGAAAGCCCTGTACATTAGACATTATCTTCATTTGAAGAAAATGAAAATAAAATTATGCCGCTTTCTGGATGGGCAATTACAGAGTTGGCGGTCTTTCCATTGTGATTTTCTTAGCTTCAAGCAGATGCATTTAAGTAGGCAAGAAGTGCAATTCAGATAGGGAAACGGCTGAGAAACAAATGGTCTAATATGTTGGACAGACTTCAGGGACTTGGCTTTTTTTTCTTGGACTATTCATACAGCAACATAACAAGATAAAAATTTAAATATGTGTACTCCTCGTACACAGTTGGCAAAAGCATTTTAGGGTTTAGACCAGAACGCACAAACTTCACTTTGGGGGAATTGAGGAGCCTTTTGGCTAAATGCTCTTTTCCTTCCATAGAAGTTCAAGGATTCATGCAGGACCGTTTATTAAGGGAGGCTTCAAATTCGGGCCTTAAACTTCCGGGGGATATACCAGTAAAATGATCAGATGCCGATAAAAGACCTCATCAAAGGGTTTAACACATGGTTGTTAAACCCCAAAAGGCACGAATAATTTTTTTTTAATCCTTTCTATTTGCAGTTTTAGAGAGTTAACCATTCAAGTGGGCTAACGTGAACATTATTCAAATTAGCATCCATGAGATAAAGGATCAATATCTATCCATTTGTTGGTTGAATGTTTATCCCCTGAGTGATGGTTCTGCATAGGAATCGGATAGTTATGTTTCAAAGACACATAACTATTCTTCATTTGAGTTTGCTACAGTCTGCGGATATGTACTATATACCTAGTCCTGCCATAAATACTGTTACAAGGTTTTTTGTAATAACTCTTTTCATGTAAAACATGCGCTGTATTTGCTAACAGCCTTTATTTCTCTACATAATTACTAACATATTACAGAAACATTATTCAAAATGTCCACCCCTGGCCTTCACACATGACTTCAAACGATCAGACCACTCATCCATCGCAGTACGCACCAATTCCATTGGATATTGGCTGCTGATTTCTTAAGGGCTCGCTTGAGACTTTCAATATTTGGATGTCTTCTGTGGTTGGCCATCAGCTCCAA